TCCGATCTTTTAATAGCTTTTGTATAATCTTCATCGCTATTATGAGATATAAAATGTATTTATCAAATCTGTAATCATTATGCCAAAAAGTCTGAATTACTGTAATATTTTGTATATTGTTAAAACTGTAACTTTAATTGTAAAAAAAAAATTTTAAATAAAAAAATAGCAAAAAAAAAAAATGAGATGACTTGTAATAGGAAGCCAAGTGACTGTATCTGAGTTTGTTTAAAGATCAAGTTCTAGGGGCTGGAGAGATGGCTCAGGGTTAAGAAGAGCACTGGCTGTTTTTGCAGAGGACCTGGGTTTAGTTCCCAGCACCCACGTGGTGGCTAACAACTATCCATAGCTCCAGTTCCAGAGGATCTGATGGGCTCTTCTGATCTCTGTGGGCACTGCATGACATGAGTGTGCTTACATTCATGCAGGCAATACACTCATACACATAAAATAAAAACAAATTTTAAAAAGATTGAGTTCTATGCAAGAGGCTATTAAAGTGTCTCAGAGAAATTAATCCTGACTTTGGCATCACTTCTCATATGATGGAGCAACTTGCACTTTTCCCAATATCTATCTGGCAGAAGGAAAATGCTATAAGCATTTGTCTTCATAGTATTTTATTTGAGAACAAGAGCAAATTATCAAGCAAATGTTCTCATAAAGCCAAATTTTAGATGTCACTGGGCTGTGGGAATCCCTTCTTTCAGGGAAAAGTTGGCCACATTTTAAACCCTGTGGATCATCAGCTCATAAACTGCACTGAATTAAGAAATAGCAGTAAAACTCATGATGATGTGGCAAAATACATCAGCAGAGTTTATCAGAAATTATGCATTTGGAAGAAACACATCAGTTTGGCTCTCACATAAAACAAAAGAATGTCTACAAACTTTAACTGCAGCCAAACAAGCTGAGTAAGGAACTATATATTCTACCACATTTCTTCACTGATCCACAGATAGCGACCAGGGAAAAAGCTGAGCAAGTCTGCATTCAAGCCATTTACACAGACAGGCTTTAAAATGTATTCACAATCTGCCCTGCTTTCTCTCCTCGCACTATCACCCTCATCTCAAATCATTCTTAGGGGGTCAGATCTGGAGATTTTTGTCAAAACAAATGATACTTTACGGAAAGTGCTATACTGAGTTCCCTTTTTTCAAATAATGCTATTAGACTTCTTTTGTCCATGTCCACACGACTTCACTTGCCAAGTTCTGTTTCATGCAAGATTCAGCCAAGATGACTATGGCACCCTAAGAAAACCAAGACTCCCCATTTGGTTATGAAGACAATAGCCTTCTTATTAGTACAAAGGCAACAAGACCTTTAAGACAAACCCATCTCTTTAATGGAAATACATGGATTACTCTCAGCTTTAGACCTTTTTTTCCTTTATATTTAGCTAAAATCAGACTGTGGAATAGGAAGTGATTAGTAATAGGGATAATTGCAGATAATGTGCCTTTGCAGTATTTTCCATTTTCAAAAATAAAAAATTAGTCAGGCATGGTGGCTCATGCCTGTAAATCCAGCATTTGGGAGGATGAGACAGGAGGATTATAGTTAAGTTAGAGGCCAGTCTTGGTTATATATTGAGTTTTAGGACAGCATAGGCTACAAAGTGAGACTGACTCAAATGCAGTATGTGTACACACACACACACGCACGCACGCACACACATCAACACAACAGAAATGTAGAATGGTCTTAACCCTATGATATTGATACCTCCATACCTGCAAACATGTTTGCTGAGCTGAGCTAGCCAAATATTACTAGTGTAAATGTCAAGAAGTGGGCAGACTCATGCCTAAATATACTTAGCAAAGTAATTTCCATTTTTCTAGAAGTAACAATTTAAACATTGTTATAAAATTCAATCATACAGCCAGCATGGTGGCACATGCCCTTAATTTTAGCACTCAAGAGGCAGAGACAGGCAGATCTCTGTGAGATCAAACCAGCCTGGTCTACATAGTGAGTTCCCAGCCAGTGGGGGCTGCACGGAGACCTGGTCTCTAAAAAATTAAGCAAAAAAAAAAAAAATTGAATCACACATGCTATATCTATTTTAAGGGAAATTAATGGAAAGATGACATGCAGATTAGTAAATATTCAGGAAATTCTAGTGAAATGGAGTTAATAATAATAATCAAAAGTTCAGTCCCAGCCAGGCAAAAACCTGATACAAATAAAACTGAGAATTTCCATGGTTATTATGTTTTAATAATTTTTATTCTATTTTATCTGATTTTGTTTTGAGACTGGGTATCCTTATACTGCCCAGGCTAGTTTTGAGTTCAAGTGGTCCTTCTGTCTCAACCTCCCAAGTATCTGGGGCTACAAATAGGAACCCCACTGAATATATATTTTTGTTAATATTTATTTATTCTTATTTTATGTGCATGAGTGCTTTTCTTGCATGTATGTAAGTGCACCCATGTTGTAGAGTAGCCTCAGAGGTCAGAAGAGAGCATCAGATCCCCTGGAACTGAAGTTATAGCTGATTGTTAACCACTACATGGATGCTGGGAACCAAACCTGGGTCTCTTGCAAGAGCAACCAGTGCTCTTAACCACCGAGCCATCTCTCCAGACTCTGCATATGTTTTTTAAAGGGACTTATATTCTTCTTTACAAAGGAAAGCATCAAGATTCACAAAACAAGTCAGGTTTAATCATGTATTCACTAAGAAAGAAAGCAAAATAATAAGCAAGCAGGATAGCTCAGAGAGTAAAGACACTTGCTATGCAGGCCTAGTGACCTGAGTTTGATCCCTGGAGCCCATATAAAGGTGGAAGGAGAGGACTAACTCCACCAAGTTGTGATCTGACCTACACACACACACACACACACACACACACACAGTGGCATGCACATACTCTCATCATATACACATATGATGATAAATATAAATGTAATTATTTCACAGAATACCCTTAAAAAGCATGCTTTCTGTTATCAATCTACTAATCTTCTACAATTTTCTGCACCATGTAAATATGTAGCATTTTGAGTTGGTTAACATTACATTTAATCTCTGGAGTCTTCACAAAAGATACAAAGTGGTAGGAATTATCTAGTCCTCCATATGTGATGATAACTAGATGATGGTCAGGATTCCTCATTATAGAAATGAACCACATTTCTTTTCATTGCTGGCTAATGCAATGTTTTACTGGGCTTGGGTCTCTCTCTCTTTTTTTTTTTCTTTCACAAGATAAGTTTTCAAAGTCCAAAACAATATTACCACCAGGATAATGCCTCTTGTGTACCATTTAGAATGAAATCAACACATACCAGGAGCCTGCCAATCCCACTCATTCCTGACTGGAAAACCATGTATTAAAGAGCACTGAGTCAACGTCAGGAACAAAATGTTCCTTTGATGTTTACAACCTGGCTAGGAAGTTATAAAATATGGATTGAGTTGTTAAAGAAAAAAAAATCTAATCTAGCTCTTTCAAACTTCATCATCATCCTTCGAGTCTCAGAACTTGAAGATGGCTTCCCATCTGATTCAAGAAGAAAACCCCTTCTCTCAGCTTGGTCAGAAATCCCTCCTTTGCTTTTTACAGCATTCTATGTCTCCTTCATGCAATCAGAGCCCTTATTACCATTTCTTCAACAGAGAATCCCATGGGGACAAAGACATTTATTTTTGTCTTTAATTATAATATTCATAAGAAACAATAGAAATCCAGGTTCATAATAAATACTTAGGAAATATTTACTGAGTTGACCTAGGATATTATCTTCTTTTCTATTATTTATCAAGCAGACGACAGTATAGGTCTTATACTCACTGAATTTCAGAGATATAGCAGATACTTGTGCAATGCACTAGAGATGCTACCAAAAACACCTCAAAACTTACACTGCAATTTGATAAGTGTTGCTAAAGGTAAAAATATTAAAGATGGCCGGGCATGGTGACACATGCCTTTAATGTCAGAACTCAGGAGGCAGAGACAGGCGGATCTCTGAGTTCAAGGCCAGCCTGGTCTACATAGTGAGTTCCAGAACAGCTGGGGCTACAGGGCGACCCTGTCTCAAAAAGACCAAAAAAAACAAAATTAAAGATGGAAAAAGTAGAGACAGTGTGTATACCAGAAAAATCTTCTCAGGCAGTGGCATTTGATTTGGGCAATGATAGATGAACAAACACAGGAACAAAAGAAACCGATTTCTAGGCCAGGGTACTAAGAAACACAGCAAGTACAAAAAATGAAAAGTGACTTCATTTGCTAGGAAACTGATATGGACTGCAACAGAAGCAGACGTTGATGAGACAGGTTAAAAGCAGCTCCTGCTGTGCTGAGGAGCCTGGAATGTTGGTTTTGCCATCAATGAGACAGGACCAATAGGGTCTTTTCAGCAGACAAGCAGTGAAATCAGATTTAGTTAGACTCAACATTCTGACATCACTGAAGAAATGAACTCACTAAAAAATTAACATTTGTTATGTTAAAGCCAATGACCATTAAAGTTAAATCTAACAGGGACAAAAGTATAATTAACAACATAAACATTTCCTTTCCCTAGGATACTTACATGCTATTTCTCTGGCACAGATTTGTCAGTTCCTTGAAAATGAAAATCATTCTCTCTGAAACTTAATCATTAAACTTAAAACATTCCTGCTTCCCTATAGTCATAATAATTTTGTATGTGTCTTTCCGTACCTGAGACACTTTGCCTGTTGGAATCTGAGTCCCCATTACTGGAATTAGAATTATTGGAAGAGTTGTTGTCAACACCTCCCAGAAGGGGGCGCAAGTGGCTTACTGAGACTTGTTCAATGAAGGATGTTCCATATTTGCGAAAATACCACCATTCAAATATCTAGAATAGAAAAATAGTGTAGTCATGATCTTATTTATTATTTGATTTCTGCACACATGCCCATAAGATATGTTTACTGATTTTGTCCACTTTTCAAAAGTCTAACGGTAATAAATTTTAATAAGTAAACACCAAAAAAGTTTAAAGTGATTTTTCTTTGCTGAAGACTGGTTTTCAAAACAAGATCTATAACTACAATCACAGATAAAAGAATACTGTTACGATATACTCTATATTATTTCCCTCAAAGTTAATATAATATTCAAATAAGAAAATCATCTTAGCTGAAACACAACTCTTAGTGCATATGAATAAGACAGTTTTCAAAATACACCTTATGAAATACTTCAATTTTTAACATTTTATATATTTGTAAAATCATCTCACAATAAAAATTTTAAGAAAAAAAAATTGTTTTGATTTTACAAGTAAGACTGACTTCCTTCTAGAAATGCTACTTTTAGTAATCAAAAGAATGAGGGAATCAGGCACAGTAGCATCCACTGTCCCAGTTACCAGAGAAGCTGCAGCAGGAGACTCACTTGAGCCTGGGCATTCAAGGCTAGCTTGAGCAACATAATGAGACCTGGTCTTAAAAAATAATGAGCATTCATTTCATGCATGGATGGCACTCAAGTGCTGAAGCTTATCCTGTCTGTTAAGTGCTATGCACCAAGCACTTGTTGAATAATATTAATGTTTCTTAGTTCAAAAGCTTACTGATTATTATGTAGTTTGAATTCCAAAAGAGAAAAGAAGTAACTTTCCTCAGTAAAAGGAAAAACAATGACATTTGTCAGGAAGTCAGAGCTTCCTGAGCACTGGAAAAGCAAGCAACTTCTCTATGTACTCCCTTCTCCCTCTGCAGCAACTATTTCCTGGCCACTCTTCAAAGTTGCTCCCCTCCATCCTTTCCTATCTTCCCTATCTAATGTAGGACTCATTCTTCTCTAGTCATAAATTGTTCAACTGAAGAATTTAAAAATCAACTACAAGCCAGGCATGATGGTGCAGGCCTGTAATCCCTCAGGAGGCTGAGGAAGGATGGATCATAGGTTCTAGACCAACATCTGTTACATAAGTGAGACTCTGACTCAATCAAGCAAAAGCCAGGTGCAGAGACTCATATTTATAATTCCAGCAATAGAAAGACTGAGGCAAGAGAACTGCATGGGTCCTAGGCCAGCCTGGATTCAAGAGACAAAAAAAAAAAAAAAAAAGGCTCACAGGATAATTCACTAATATAGAATATATAATCAACATAGAATTAATTACTTTTGACATCTCCCACTTACCTAACATAAAAACCATACCCTCCGAGACCTCCATCGAGTGCCGAGTTTTGGCCTCCCTTGGGCCTCCCTCAGGCAGAGGGCCTGAGAACACAGGGGGCTGCCTGAGAGCCCCGGATCCTGTCTCTGCATGGTGGTAAGCTTCCCCTAATTGCACCATACCCATCCCGCTACCTGGGATTTCATGAGGCCCCTCTCAAGCCTTTGGGAGGCTAAGGCTGAGATCACAGCAGACAGCCTGAGAGGGTGGGTTTGAACCTCCATTGTTGTAGTGGATCTCAGCAGACCACCAGAGAGTGTCAAGTTTTGGCCTCACTTGGGCCTCCCCCTCTGGCAGAGGGTCTGAGGACACAGGGGACAGCCTGAGAGTGCCGGGATCCTGCCTCCACATGGTGAAGGAAGCCTGAGTGTACTTGACTGGAACCTGAATTGGGCTTCTGTGGGTACTCCTGAATCTGAAGCCATTAGTTCCCTCCAAATTAAACCTGAGAGAACCTGAATCCTGTACCAACCAGCTTTACATAACCAATAAAGAAAGGATATAGGCACCCCGATAATACAAACAGAAGAATACTTCAAGTTAATTCTCACACCAGAATCATAAATAACAAAAGAAATGCACATGCCAAAATCACAACGAAAGAATAATAAAATGGAAAGTCAAAACCCTATGTCCCCACCAAATTCCACCAATCCCAAAGAAGAGTTCTACAAGGAGAACCCCCTAGAGATAACCCAGGACACTAAATTTAAAAGAACAATCATAAACATGATCAAGGAATTCAATGAATTTAAAAAACACACGAACAAATAAATTAAAAAACTCAAAGACATTAGGGATAAACTTCTGAATGAACTCACAAAAGAGATAGAAACATTGAAGAAAACTCAGGCAGAAATGAAGGAAGTGCAAAACTCAATATGCCAACTTGAAACAACAGGGGAAAGCCTCACCACTAGAATGAATGAAATGGAAAACAGAGTATCAACACTGGAGGATAAAATTGAAGAATTGGACCACTAAAGCAAAGATCATGGAAAAAATTTAAAAACACAGGAATGGAACATGCAAGAGGTATGGGGCACCATGAAAAGACCAAATCCACAGATCATAGGAATTGAGGAAGGAGAAGAATTTCAGATTAATGGTGTTGACCAGATCTTAAACAGGATTGTAGAAGAGAATTTCCAGAAATTAAAGAAAGATATTTGCATAAAAATACAGGAAGCACAGAGAACACCAAATAGACAGGATCAAAAAAGAAGCCCCCCATGACATATCATAGCAAAAACTCTAAATGTATAGAACAAAGAGAGAATACTGAAAGCAACAAAAGAAAAACAATAAGTCACATACAAAGGAAAGCCCATCAGAATTATAGCTGACTTTAAGCCAGAAGAGCCTGGACAAAGGTATTTCCAGTTCTACATGACAAGAGATGCCAGTCCAGAATACTTTACCCAGCAAAAATGTCTCGTAGAGTGGAGGGGGAAAGAAAAACTTTCCATGACACGAATAGCCTGAAAGAATACATGTCCACAAAACCAGCCCTTCAAAGAATACTTGAAGCAATACAAAGAGTAGAGAGAGAAACAACTATACCCCAGGGGCAACAAAAGAAAATAAATAAAGGTATAATCTAGGAAACACAAAATTAGAGAACACAAACAACAACCAAAATGATGGCAACCAATACACATCTTTCAATACTAATCTTCAATATCAATGGACTGAACTCCCCAATCAAAAGACACAGGCTAAGCAAATGGATTAATAAACAAAATCCATCTCTTTGCTGTCTTCCATAAACCCATACCGCCTTCAAGGAAAGGCACTACCTTAAGGTAAAAGGATGGAAAAGAATATTCCAAGCAAATGGCACTAAGAAACAATCAGGGGTTGCAATTCTAATATCTGACAAAATAGACTTCAAAGTAAAACTAATCAGAAGAGATAAGAAGGGTACTTCATTCTGATCAAAGGAAAAATTAACCAAGAAGATATTACAATCCTTAACGTATATGTACCAAACTCTGGTGCACCTAAATTCATAAAATAGCACTACAGGACTTTAAGACACAGCTTAACCCCAACTCAATAACAGTAGAGGACTTCGATACCCCATTGTCTCTATTAGACTGGTCAACTGGACAAAGAATAAACAGAGAGATATATGAATTAAATGATACAATACATCAAATGAACCTATACAGACATCTTTCAAATATTCCACCCAAGCACCAAAAAATACACTTTCTACTCAGCACCCCATGGAACTTTTTCAAAAATTGGCCACATAATGGGCCACAAAACAAACCTCAACAAATACAAAAATACTGCAATAATTCCATGCATTCTCTGGGACCACAAAGCAATAATGCTCA